GTTTTTTTTTTTTTTCTTTAACCCAATTAATTCACAAATTAGTCGATATAAGTATTATTTTTTTTCAAAATAATTAGTCTATGTTTGAAATAGTTATTCTTTGAGTTTAGAATCTCAATAATTACCTAAATATATCAGATATATTTAGATACGTGTATTTTTACAACCAGATACATTGAAATAGGAAAAGAGATAAGCAAAAGAAGGAGAGAGGGGAGGGAGATATATTTTGAAATACAGATACAAAGCGAGAAAAGCGGGCGAGATAGGGAGAGAGGTGAGCGAGATAGAGGCAAGTGAAAGAGTTAAATACATGAGAATTCACTTGGATATAATGTATCTGAAGTAAATTTGACCTAGTTTTAACTCATGTATCTAACATACATGTAGACACCCCAAATACATCAGGGGAAACTTACATAAATATATTATATTAAGAAAATATTTACCATTTATAGCAATAGCATTTTTTGTTCACTTGATTCACTTTTAATACATTTATAATACAGTTTTTATTCATATTACAAAGAACAATTTATTATTCACATATATACACGTTTTATTGATGAATAATACATTTATCACACATTCTAATACACTTATAATTCAATGTGTCAATTTCTTATTAAACAAGCATAATATATTTAAAAAAAACAGTTAAAATACATATGTATTGCATACATAATTCACTTTTAATATATATTGCAGATTTAACATGATATTGTCATATATTGCTATAAATGATAATAACTAAAAAGTATCGCTAAAATCAATAATTATTTATTAAAAAGTACCAATACAAGTAATTTTTTCATACAGGTATCTGAAGTCCAAATTTTGATAAGTTCACAATGTTAAAAACTTATATAAAGAAGAATAATTTACTCTTAAATTAGTGAAATTTGTATTGTTTTGTATTAATCTGGCCAAAGCCCATGTGATCTACAACAGCAGCAACCCTAAAGGGGAAAGAATGGATTTTTTGGACTTTAAAGTTAAAAGTCTAAGTAAGGCTAGGGGTGTTCATAGGTCGGTTTGGATCGGTTATTGGTCAAAACCAAAATCAAACCAACTTAATCGGTTTTAAAATTATCAAAACAAAATATAGTATATATTTATCGGTTTGGTTGTTATCGGTTTTGGTTCGGTTTGATTTGGTTATTCGGTTATTAACCATAGACAAAAATAAAAGAAATAATTAATCAAAACATGAAAAAAGTGACAACAATCCATTTAAAATGAAAATAGTTAGAATGACTGACATTACATAACTTTCAATCATTGAATTTACTCTTACTAAAGCTTCAAAATTCATTAATTTGGCTTAGAAGAAAGAGAAAGTGATATTTTCAATCTTATAAAGAATTGTCATAGATACTAATATACATAAAACCAATAAGATAAATATTCTCACCTTGGACATTTTTTCCTTCATAAGTAAATTATAAATAATTTTGATGAAAATACATATAAGATCTTTAAAATTGTTTATAAAAATAATATATTATGTATGTATATTAATAATATATATGTATATAATTTGTCGGTTCGGTTCGGTTATTTCTTCGGTTTTTTTCGAACAAAATCATAACCAACCCATATACTATCGGTTTTTAAAAATCTAAAACCGAACCACACCTAACCCAAATAAAAATCAGTTTATTTAATCGGTTTGATTCAGTTTTTCGGTTTGAATTGGTTTTTATCCAAACCGTGAACACCCCTAAGTAAGGCAATGGCGAGGAATTTGGGCCAATAGCCCAAAGTTTAGATTTATTTTACTTCTAATCTTTAACTTCTTGATGCTATTATTATTATTCTTAATTTTATCATTTTTATCTAACTTAGATGAATTTTTAAGAGTTTGCTTTAATTTATTATTTATCGAATGTTCCTTTGAGAATTTTTTTAAAAAATAACAAAGATAATAGATATAATAAGGTTCTATAGTTATAATTTTGGTAATTGTGTTTCATAGTTATAATTTTGTTTGCTATGGAGGCTGGCAGGCTGCGGTTTGTATATTTCGCTTGCAAATATACTAACAGGATAAGTATATAGAAATAGAGGTTGCAGTTTGTACATTTCGTTTGCGAATATACAAATAGTGTAAGTATATACAAATTTTGTATTTATACATTTATGAATTTTTCAGAACTTTGTTTGTACATTTCGCATGCCAATTTGCAAAATAGGTAGTTTATTATAAAATTTTCATAAATCATATACAAATAACTCGGGTAAGCATATATAATTCATTATTTATACAATCAGGAACCGAATTATACAAATTCTGAATTTATACAATTAGGAAACCAAGTAGCAAAATTTCGCGAAATTGTAAGCACAAATTAAAAACAATCAAAATTATAGTTATATTACATAATATACTCTAGTTGTTTTCCATTTCGCTTAATTTTCCCTATTCCTTTCTATATACATGTTTAAACTTTTTTTTTTGCTTAAAGTTTCTATATACATGTTTAAAGTTATTTTCAAATTAAAATACTTGATCTCTTTAAAGAAATGTCAAAAGAGTTCCTTTCCATAAGATAAATTTACAAACAACTTCAAAATATCTTAAGTAAGTCAAATAAATGTTCTTAATTAAACTTTCTGGTTAACTATCTTTTATAAAAAAATTTAAGTGCTTAATATTTTCTTGAACCTATCCTTTTGATGTAACCCTAGGTTTCTCAAGCCTACCTGTGATGTCGCTCTCATAGAAGATCATAATCAAACCCTTCTATCACATAGAGATTCTTAAATACAAAATCACCCTTAATTTGATTAACCAATCTACTATCCTGGTCCTTTCATACTAGTACCAAGAGTAACACTCTAGATTCTAAGACTTAAGAATTAAAATACAAGTTGAGGAAGTAATTCACTTACCTTAACCGAAGAGATTGATGGAAAAATTGAAAGAAATTACCCTAAATCGGTCTCCCCAGTTTCAAGAACGAAGTTATAGAAAATAAAAGGTTTTAAAAACTTTTTTGCACAAAACCCCAACTAACCCCGCTATAGTGGCCCGACGCACTATAGCGGCGTCGCCATAGCGGTCCACCCGCTATAAAGGAAATTACTTCATCCCGCTATAGTGACATGACACCACTATAGCGGCTTGAACAGAGATAGACTCGTAGATTCTCCCCAAAGTCTCCATTTCGAAATACATCTTCGATTTGATTATGAAAGGACATACGTATTCCTTAATGTCTTAGCTAGTAGAAATTACAATCCACGCTTAGACATACCACCCCAAGCATTCCCGAATTATCCTAGACCTTAGCTTGCTCGAATTCTGTCTCAAACTGACCTAACCTAGAATTTTTAAGTGACTAGCCCAAAAAAATTCTTGTCTGATTCTTTCACCATTGACCTACTCATAATGACCGGAAGGAATCGTCAGTGGCGTACACAAAAACTTCAATAAGCGGTGTCGATATTTATAGAAGGCAAGTTAAAAATTTAACTATCGCACTTGTCAATAAATTACATCTTTAACTCATTGATTTGAATTAGTTTTAAGCTAGAAGAGATCTTGAGTTCGATACTACTTAACCACATTTTTAGTATGAGTATGTTATATTTTGCAAAAATAAGCTTAAATGAGGTTTGAACTTGCGACATCAAGCTCAGTTTATTATATTTTACAAAAATAAGCTTACAATGAGATTTGAATCCGCAACTTCGACACTATAACCAAACAATGAACCACCACACCATTAGACAATTATAACCAAACAATGAACCAATACGCCATTCGACGAAGGGGCGTGGCTTGACACCCCTTCGCTCAACGTGGATCCGCCCTTCGAAATTGTTACATTGCTCAAAAGAGCTATGGCGAAACACGAACTATCCGAATTCTGTATTTCTAAGGTTGGTAGGCTCTTCCTCTCAAAATATTTTTTTCAATTGATGATGCCAATGGATATGAAAGTAATGATTGGTATACAAGTTCACGTAAATTTACAAACGTAATTTTCAGAGACACAAATGAACCTGTAATGTATATGTATACAAATCAAGAAAAGACTAAAACATTCCATATACGAATCATCCAATTGTTCATAATAAAAATGAAAAAGTATAGCAAGAACATTTACATATACAAATTCAAGTAAATATGCAGACGCAATTTTCAGAGATACAACGAACTTGTAATGTATATGTATAGAATCTTGAAAAAACTAAAACGTTCCATATACGAATCATCCAATTGTTCATAATAAAAATGAATCTATACATAACTGATCAATTCATATCATTACACCTAAACATATAAATGATTTAACAAACATAATACAATTTCATTGTTCGGTCTGCCAACAAATTGAATTATACAAACTTGTTCATTCGTATATACAAATTGATATGGAAAAATATACAACTTAACTCGAAAAATATACAAATCAAGGTTCGCGAATTATAGAAATCAAGGCCTCCATAGGAAACCAAACTATAACTATGAATCGCAATTATCAAAACTATAGTTATAGAGTATTAATATGATTATTATGTTTGCTATTCCTAAAATTTACTCTATAAATAATAATAATAAAATAATAAAAAAGTGTAATGGAGATAATGAATAGTAATTTTCCAAATTATTCACCCCTTCAACTATAGAGTTTAGAGGAAAAAATAGAGATAGGTTGGGAGTTGCCCCTCCAAATTATTTTCCAAGGAAGGTGATTCAATTGAACCCCTTCATCGGCTCGCCACTGCCAAATATAATTTTTTAAAAATAGTAATTTTTCATTTCGTGTTCTATGTACAAACTTAATGTTTATCATTACACTAGAGAGGAAAGAGTTCAACGTTTAGAACCAAAAAGAGCTATTCACAACATAAAAATAAATGAGTGGAAGAAAACTACATTCAAAATCTTACTTTGGATCAAGCAACCTCAATCATTCATCAACATTCAGCCAGTCACTGGGCTCTTTACTATCAGCGGTATGGACGATTACGTGGTGGAGAGTGTTGGCATTTTTGACAAGCTGGTGGAGCTTTTTCTCTACTGAACACAATCTTGAGAGTCTATCAGAACTGTAATTTACTTTCTAGACATTTGCAGGCACGTCCATGTCGTCCTCTTCAAGATCACTAAATGATACATCCTCCTCATTGTCGATAGGAATGGTGGTCTTACTAACACCTACGAATTCTGTGCCTTCTTCCTTTAACCAATCATCACCATCATCTTCATCACTCTCTTGTAACTTACTAGTGGAAACAGATTGTGGTTTTTCAACATTCTTATGGGTAGCAAGTCCTCCTTCAACCACAGATTTGTCAACAATTTGGATTTCACTGCTAATGGCAGGCTGCTTTTCAACATTCTTATGGGTAGCAACTCCTCCTTCAACCACTGGTTTGTCAATAATTTGGATTTCACTGCTAATCACAGACTGCTTTTCAACATTACTATGGGTAATAAGTCCTCCTTCAACTACTGGTTTGTCAACAATCTGGATTTCACTGCTAATCACAGGCTGCTTTTCGACACTACTATGGGTAATAAGTCCTCCTTCAACCACTGGTTTGTCAACAATTTGGATTTCACGGCTAATAACAGGCTGTTTTTCAACATTACTATGTGTAACGAGTCCTCCTTCAACCACTGGTTTGTCAACAACTTGGCTTTCACTACTAAGGACAGGCTGCTTCTTGGTAGCAGGGACAGGTACTGCAGTAAAAGTGCTCGATTCCACACTAGACATCTCATGAACCACATCTGTAGAAAGCGCAGTGGACGGCACTGAGACAATCTCTTCAGGCCGAGAGTTATTTCTGTCATTTGATTCAGAAGTCCTCTTCTCTGGCCAGTCTTCTTCTATTGGCTTAGTTCGCTTATGCAACTCTTGTGCCAATGAGGCCCTGGCTTTGACAAACTGCATACAAATAGCATTTGCAATGCCAGTGATTAAGATCACTCATTCTCACATAAAATGATGAAACCAAGCATCAGTTTACGCACAAAATAGCTAAAAACAGGAAGGAGGTAACTATTATACAAGCTGGAATGATGCAAGTCAAATGGACAAGTTGCACTCCACGTAACACAGTTACTATCAAAGCCCAACATATCACTGTACTTCAGCATGAATTAAAATCGTCACCCCTAGTTTTTGTTGGATGAGTTTATGCCTTCCTTTCCTCACATCATCCTTGTACGGAAAAGAGGGAGTACTTTTATATGCAAGGAAAGAGAACAGCATGACCACTCGATGAAATCAGGAGGGAACTGGGATAAATGGCTAGTCCTACTAGAAGGATTCTTTGGATAATAGATACTGTGACTGGTATTCTTATAATTGGTTTAATAGGCATTTTAATTTTATGCACATATTACGAATTGGGTTCATCCCTGTCATAATGAATTAATTGAGTTTTCAACGTGAAAGCATAAGAATTCAATGGGAATCCCTTCTTTGTCTGTTTGATTTGAAGGGAAAGGACCCCTGAGTTCAAAGGCTGAGCTATGTTGGATAAGCTTTTGGATGCCCAGAGAGCATCGAGAAGCAAAAGGCAAGTCAGGGAGGCTCACCAAAAGCAAAAGTAATCAAATAATGAAAAGGTAAAATCATGAAATATCTAACTTCCATGGGTAGGAGGGGTCCTTGCGGGGTGGGGTGGGGTGAGAGAGAGTTCGGATGGAACTATGGAATGACAAGAATGTTCGACTCTCTCTGATGAAAGACCTACACAGTTTTCAGTAAATATGTGAAGATGTAAGGTTCAACCCATTAAGTACTAACACATGAAAAATGGGACAAATCCCTCCCCCATAATCCCCCAGCAAAGCTAAAGAAGTGTCTTCTTCCTCTTGAATTAGTTGTTAACAATGTACCCAAATACACTAAAGTACAATAAGGTAAAAAATTATTTTCCAAGTACTTCACCTTCAATTAAGTAGGGAAGTTCAAGAATATTCTACATACAATTCTGATACTTAAAATCAACAAATCTAGACATGTTGTGAGTCTGAGCACAAATAATTATACACAGTAATTCTTTTGATATTCAACAATTTGTATATAGAAACAGATCATTCCAGAACCTAAAGAATCCAAACAAATATTTTAACCACCATAAAAAATCAGATTTAATTATTGAGCTTTAATACAAAAATCAAAACCAGCCAGCCCTAGCATAGACCCCGTTGATCTACTCATTTACAGGAAAAAATATGTAGTTGTCAATTTGTGTTATCAGCAGAAAAATCAAAGCTATGAGACACATGGAGTATCTTCAATTATATAAGCAGATAGTAGCAAATAATTACATCCAAGACAACAGAATGGGAGTAATCATTATGGGTACATGAGACTGTTACCTGTGGTGTTGACAAAAGCTTAGCATCTTGCTTATCCAGTCGAGGGTGAAGAAGTACAAAGTAGATCTCCCAAAAACGCGCTTCATTCATGTAAATTGGACAGAGCTCAATCCTCAAAGCAGGCAATCTGGGGGCAAGTTGTTCAACAGCTAATGCATGCTCTTGCTGTGCATCAGATAAGTAGAAATCTACATCAAGAGGAAATCCATAAGATAAATGGTGCGAGCAGTCAGGGGTGGAGCTAGGTGGGAGCTTTTCCGTAGATCTTGTATTTGTACTGGAAAATTAATTAAATATATATGTATATTAACTCGTGAACTCCAAACAAAATTAATTGACAACTTAATGGTAAGGAAGGGGACTTGGAAAGCAAGAGTTGTGAATCCCACTATTATCAAAAAGTTTCATTTTTTTTTCTGTCTTTTTAAAAAGGAAATTTAGAAAGAGGTCCCGGGATATAAACTTAAGTCTAAAGTAATAATTCAACATAAAGAGAGATCAGTCTGTACAGTGATTGTTAAAGAAACCGTTAAAACAATAGTTTGAAATGTTATCGAATTCAGGAATTGGTAAAGAAAATGCCACATCAAATTTGAAAGACAACAAATAGCATAATATATATTAGTTTTGAATTGATGAAGGGAAAGCCATTTCTAGGTCAGGACAAACTAGATTTTAATATACAACAACATACCCAGTGTAACCCCACAGTGGGGTCTCTAGGGAGGGTAGTAACTAGTATGCACGCCGACCTCACCCCTACCTTGTGCAGGTATACAGGCCAGCGAAAACCTAGACAGAAGTGTTATGTGTGTGTTATTCTTAAAAGTAGAATTGCTAATTACTCATAAGGTACTTCTAACTGGAATTGTTAGTATAACAGCTGCATGGTAAGAAAGTATAATAAAAGGAGTAATAAAATTAGCAAAAGTGATAGGATCACATGAACCAATGTTGCTCAAACTCTTTAGAAATTCTTTCTGGGTGCATGTTGGATCCTCCAAAAACAGTGCATTTTGAAGGATCCGGCACAGTTGTGGTGGCAGTTTTGGAGAGTCCGAGCAACATAGACAAGGACTGCACAATCTTACTTGAAATCCTAAATGAACCTATGTGACTATATGAGATCCTATCTCTTTTTAACTCTACTAATGATTTGGATGAATCTTATGATCATAAAATATGATCCAATTATGATTTTGACAACGAGGCACCTATTCATCCATAAAATTAACAGGTCGTGTGACAGCAAATATCAATCTAAAAAGCTAAGAAGATTTCATACTCATATGGTTATTATATCCATATCAAACACTTGTTAACACAAACGAGAGGCAATTTAACAAACAATTGGCAAAATTTCCTACTCTTTCAACTGTTTGATTGCACGTACAAAAGATAATGCTCGCATTACAATTACTTTCTTTAGTCCTGTGGAGTGTGGAGTATAAGAGACTTAGGATAGCACAGAATCTTACAAACTTTGAAGCATTGATCCAAACAAAGCTTTGAAGTATTTTGCTACCATATCTTTGTTAACAACCACTACCCAGTGTAATCCCACTTGTGTGTACGTAGCCTTACCCCTACCTTGTGTAGGTAGAGAGGAGCTATCATGTCATTGTCCTGATGTATATTAAATTGTCTTGGAATGACCTTGTTAAACAGATATGACAACCCTATTAACCTGACGGTTGAAGCTTTTTTCGTATATTAAGGTTTATTACTTACTATTTCACTTATACCTTAGAACTTACTGGTCCATTAGAAAACATGTTTTAACTTACTGTCTTTGCTATAGTGCTCAGTTTAGTCTTAACTAGGATGACTGGTACATATATCCTCTAAAATTCAACTTTATTTTAAAAAGTACTCATTATTAAGCAAGACGTTAAATGGTTAACTCAAGAAAGCCTAATCATCATTTCAGAATCCGTCATAAATACCCCCATCCCAAAAAAATATTTGATATACCTCCATTTATTTTGTTCTTAAAGTTCCATACATGTAAACAGCACACTAAGATTGTGTAAACCAGTAAGCAAGAAGGAAATCATTCTTTCTGATAGTCAGCAGTCAGACTTTTTACTTCCATGCGGTCAAACAGAACAACAACAAATAATGCTCTATGGTACATAGTATAATTCCTTTGGCAAACCAAATCTATGCACAAAACAAATCTGCTGCCTCTACCTACTACAGAATTACTGATTGCAATTTGATATCATGATAGTAGTTGCTTAAATAGAGATAGTAGTTTCAGACACCCAACGGTGTGACTTAGTGGTCAATGAAGTGGATTGAGAACCATGAAGTTTCAAGTTCAAAACACTTGATGATTTCTTGTCACAAGCCTTGGTGGACAGTATTACCATTTACCCACTACCTGTATTGGTGGGAGGTAGCAGAAAAATAGAGATAGTAGTTTCAGAACCCTCTGAAACCTGCATTAATCAATTTACACGTGAATAAAGATTTTTGTTTACAAGTAGTACATCTACACTCTGTTATTAGAGATTTCTTTTAGATAAATTCCTATTCAATTTGGAAGTTCATCTGTTGCAGCTTGGAGAGTTGCACCTATCCAAATTCACTATTGATCTAAATAGTTTACTTTTGGGACGAATTATTCTCATATCAAAGTAATATTACTTATGATACCAAAGCCGCCTCTAAACATATAACATCTGAGCCTAACTCAACCCCAAAAGGATTACTCAAGTCCATATAAGCAAATCACTAGTTCATTTTCTAACCAATGTGGGACTCTAACCCACTCTTACACCTCCTTCACACCCAAGCTCAACTAGAGCTTGAACCGAGAGCCCAACCATGAATGAACCTAAATATATAACATATGAGCCTAACTCAACCCAAAAGCTAGCTCATGAAGGAAAGGATTGTGCAGGTTCATATAAGCAAACCACCAATTTCATTTCCCAACCAATGTGTGACTCTTACCCACTCTAATGCAGCCAAAGCAGACCAATGATCTCACAATCAATAACATATTGGAAGCATTTCAACAAATTCAAAATAAGAGTAAACAAATAAAAGAAAATGAAAAAGTAAAATCACCTTCATCATCTTCATTTTCGGGCAAAGGGAAATCCAACCAAGTTTCAGGATGCATCGCAATGTCCCTTACGAAAGCCACTACTTCTTCCGTAACACCAACAACACCTTTGTCCAGATCAAAGCCTTTCCCCTCTTCCTCCTCTTCCGGTCCCAACTGCAGTAAATTCGACGCCATTTTCGTAATTTCCGACACCGCCATATTACTCGACAGTAAAGATATTCCGCTCTTGAACTTCCCACTGATTTCAGCAAAGTCAGTCTGCAAACCTACGATCCCCGCCGCCGGGTCGGATTCCTCCTCATCCGGATCCAATTTGGAGTTGTCAATAGGCTTATACGAATCAGATTGTGGCGGTGGAGCTAGAAATGACGCGACTCCCCAAAATTGACTGGTTAGTGTTTTAGTTAGCTCCGACAGATCCTCTTTAACGCCACGTGAAGGCGATGTCGGTGAAGATGAATCTTCTGTTTGTTGATGATTTTCCGATTTTGGATTGTCAGTGGAGTGATCTCGATTAGGAGGTGGAACGACGTCGTTTGTGTCGTCGTCGAGATTCAGGGAGTTGGCAATTGATCGAGCCAACCATGACATTGTTAGTCAGATCACGGAGAAGTGATCGGAGTTTACAGATCGCCGGCGATGAGTAATTTAACGGTTGTGATTGACTGTGCAAATGTTAGCTGTCGAATTGAAAAAATAAAAAAATAAAGCAAATACGCATAACTAACTTTGTTGTTCTGAAGTACCTGCATGTGTAGTCGTTATTTTTGGAGTTAAATAGTTTTTTTTTTATAAAAAAAATAATAAAAAAATATATAATTAAATTATTATTTTTTTCACGAGTTTTTTTATCTCAATTATTTAATTATTAGAGTATTAAAAACTAAAAACATATCAATTGTTGAGTTGGTTGTATATTACTTTCATTCAATAATAGCTATGTGTAGATTAACTCAGCATGGATATGGGTTTTAATATTAAAGAAGTGATATTATATTTTAGATAAATAAATAAATTAATGAATAGTTAAGATATGATATTCATGATTAAATCATACTCTTTTTGCCTCAACTTGTGTAACATTTTTCATTTATCGAGAGTTAAACAGATTAAGTTTGATCGACAATTTGCGCCTGAAATATTCAATTTTTTTTAAATGAAATTTATATATTCAAGTAAAAAATATTATAAATCACAATAATTGAAAATTGAAAATATTTAAAAGATATATGAAAAAATTACGGTCAAAATAAGCTTGTTTGAATCTTGAAATTTGAAAAGTGTCACATAAATTGGGATTGAGGAAGAATTTAGATGATTTAACTCTTTAAAAAAAAATTGATTGTAAGGATTGAATCTAAAATTTCATACATGTAAATTCTTTGAGATTAATAATTTAAATTTACTCCTCAACTCTTAAATCCTATAACTTTAATAAATAATGTTAAATAGAGTGTGTTAGTAGTGTTTGCATTAGTATTAGTTATGTATGTATTAGTTATGCATGTATTAATTAGGCATAATACATAAATATGACCCTTAACTTGGCTTCAACTGACAACTATGCCCTCCAACTTTGAGTATGCACAAGTAGACACTTAAACTTGTATAAAATTAAACAAGTAGACACACGTGTCCTACATGACATTATACATGTAGGACGCCACGTAGGACATAAAATTTTCATGTAGGGTGCCATGTAGGATGAATGTGTCTATTTGTTCAATTTTATACAAGTTTAAGTGCCTACTAGTGCACACCCAAAGTTAAAGATCATAGTTGTCGGTTGACGCCAAGTTAAGGGTCATGTTTATGTATTATGCCTATTAATTATACACAACTTATTTCTTATGCATTGTTTGGTTTGGTGTATTAAAATTAGCATACATTGCATTAAAATATTTATTTACAAAAATATCCTCTACAATCATGGTGGAAAAGATATAAAAGGAGTTTTGAAGGGTAATTGAGTCTTTAACCATGCAAATGCATGTATTAAATCCTTTGTAGTACTAATACCTAGAAATCTATGGTATTCGCAATACACTCATCATACACAATAGAGTGTATAACTAATGTTAGCATTAATTATACGTAACATGAAAAAGTGTACCAAACAAGGTACTACTAATATACAAAGCTAATGCATGCATTATTTTTGTTAATACACTCTATCAAACGACCCCTAACACTAGTACCTCAACTTGACAATTAACTAATTGTTCTAACAAGTCTCCAACAAGATAAACTCTCTTCTTGTTACAAATCTCACATTGGTCACATCTTTAACGATGCTCAGAATTATTACAACTCTATAATAATCATATTACAAATTCAATAAAGACTAATAACTCTAGCCTTTAACTATCCAAACATCACACAAAAAGACTAATAACTCTAGTACTTTTTAACTGATCAAACTTCAGTATTAAATAGTACAGACTCGAACATAACTTGTAAACAAGATTCCAGTGTTGTTGAGACAAAGTCCTGCAGTTTTGCTCTGTGACTATTGCTCTTAAGATGATGAATTTCATGATTATGCAATAAATGCGGTTCTCAATGGCCTTTATGTCATATATATACTGAAAATTTGTCATGCCCTAATATATCACGAACTAGAACTTTACTTCGATAGAACTTCCAAAACTCAATATAAGCCTAATCACTTACTTGCCCCTTTCTTATAATCATGTGTCACCATCAAACAAATTTTTATGCAACATGCATCTTTCATGAGAATTTGTTGCAACAAACTAAATTACAACAATATATAAGTAGTACTCCACTAATTGATATTTATAACACATTTAGCTTTCTAACTTAATTATTTCTATGTTGTTCACATAGGAAAAATGAAGTTGAATAAGGGTGAGAAAGAAAACAAAATAATGAGATGCATCAAAGCACCAATTACTAGAGTTGTTATTAAGGTCAAGAATTTTTACATGAGAAAGCTATGGGATAATTACTCTGAAAATGTTGTCTATGGTTGTCTAATGGGCTGTTCTGCCACTCCACAATTGTCTTCTTGGCCTAACAGAACTTTTAGTGGCAATGAATTTGATTTCCCAAGGACAACTAATCTTGAAAATATGGTAGAATTAGAGCATCTCAATCAAGCAATAAGTAGTGTGCGTGTGGTTCCTATGGGAGAAATGCAAACTTGAAGTGTATCAAGTATATTGTCTTTAAAAATGAACTTTTTACAAAAAAATTCATTCCATTTTATAATAAGTGATGTTTTTATTTTTTTATTTTGATTCAAAATAAGTGATGTTTCACGTAATTAAGAAGATGTTAATTTTTTTTTCTTTCAATTTTACTCTAATTTAGATAAGTGAGTTTTTATGTAAGTTTTTATCCATTGACGGTCGTCTTACCTTTCTCCTGTGCTATATGTAGACACGTAATTTTTGACCGAATTTAAGGTATTACACCATTTTTAGTACATAAATATTGCTTTATATATAAATTAAATATTTTATTTTTCATCGTATTTTAGTAAGTTTATTTTAAAAGATTGAAAAACTACAAAAAATATATGTTTTCATTTAGATTTAATAAATAAGCTAGTGTTTCTTAACTATATTTTTAGACTAGCTATTTGACTTTTCTTATATTTTATTAATTCAAAATAATTAATTAATATTTTTATGGTTTATATATATATATATATATATATAATTAAAATAAAAGAAATAACCTACCTCTACCCTCACCCCACTTACTCCTCCACTACCCCCACTATACACACATACTCACACGTCTACACACTATATATATATATATAATTAAAATAAAAGAAATAACCTACCACTACCCTCACCCCACTTACTCCTCCACTACCCCCACTATACACACACATACTCACACGTCTACACACTACACCACTACTGTCTACACACACATTACAATATATATACACAGGACCAACGAAAAGAAAAGGAGGAAATCAGCAACCAAAACACCCAACATACAGATTACACGAGAAAAAAAAGAAGAAGAAAAACCTTCCCATTTTATTTGATTATCCTTTTAAAAAATTCACCAACACATTCACATCTTTTCTTCCTTACCCATTCTTTTCGTATCAACACAAACACATATACCATCACAAACAACCTACAAAAGTTGTGGGTGTTCTAATCGAGCTTCGGTTAAGATTTTGCGGTATTCAACTTTACTTTATCTTCTTATTTAATTTATTCATGGAATTTGATGTAATTATTATGATAAGTTTTCTTACACTTTTATTTTATTCATAATTTGATTAAAATGAAGAATGTGTTAAGTGTTATATCTCTTTAATGAATGAAAGTAACTTTATTGGTGGTTATTTTTATTTATCTATTTTTGTTCATTAGTTGTGATGTCTTAAAATGAATGGGTCATGATGTTGTTTTTTTCTTGATTTCGATGTTAATAATGATAAAGTAGGAATTATTGGGTTCACAAAATTATTGTTGTTTTATTTATTAAATAAAGAATGAGATTTATTTTAGCAATTCGTCATTGTTTTGTTGGATTAATAAAAAGTACAATATGAGTATGCCTAATTTCGCCATTAACTTCAAGATAAAAAAATAAAATAAAAATATAATATGTGTAGGCCTAATTTTAACATTAACTTTAATTTAAGGGTGAATAAAAATAAAAGAATATAAGATAATCCAAAATTTATATTGTATCCTAGAAGTTTAGATTTGTTTTATTTTATTTGATTTTATTTAATATTTTCTTATAACATTAGATGGGTTTTAGGCATGTAAACAAAAAATAGTATTTGTTTCAATTAAAAATGTGGTTACACATCTTTTTTGAAACACTTAAAAGAAATTCAAGGATGTGGTGACACACCTTGATAAAATTATTCTAATATATATTTTAACATGTGGATTAATTTAATTAAAAGTATCATCAATAAATATAATAATGAAATGAGAAGATTAGTTGTCTAGAATTCAGAAAAATAAGAGTAAGTACTTTTAATACTAGATGAGTTTTATGCACATTAAAAATATTTGTAAAAAATTAAGAATGCGGTTGCGCATCTTTTTTGAGACATTGAAAAAAAAAACTCAAGGATGCGGTGACGCACCTTGTTTAAAAATATAATAACTTTCATTAATTTAAAATAAGATCACTTATAGATAAAATTAGGTGATGCACTCGAGAGAAGAAAACAATTATGTTCATAAGCTATTTATATGTCAAAAGTCGAGAATGCAGTTATGCATCCGATTTGAGACCAAATAAAAGTTCAACAATAAAAATGCAAACAAGTCATGACCTGAAAATAATATATCCACAAATGATTTAAAGTAGGTAGAAGTCAATAAAAGCGACCGTGCTAGAACCGGGACTCGAGGGATGCCTAATACCTTCCCCTCGGTCAACAGAATTCCTTACCCGAATTTCTAGTTCGCAGACCATATAAAGAGTTATTTCCTTTTGATTAGGGATTAAACAAAAGGTGACTTGGAACACTATAACTCAATTCCAAGTGGCGACTCTGAAACAAATAAAATAATCCCTTAATCATTAATCAGTAACGTCACTTAAATTGGAAAAACCCTTCCGCCGCTGTGCGCGAAAAGGGGTGTGACACTATACTCTCAACTAGATCAATCGCTATATTCTAATTTATTGAATAGGTGCTCTGTGGAACATGCTTTTATAAAGTTCACTCTTT